AGAATTTCCAAAGCAGCTATCAAACATTTTAAGAATATTTTTAATCTAAAATCAGCTAAGGAGAACAGAAGACTCTTGGGATTATATCCCTTGCTTTGTAACAAAAGCAGATAATATTTATCTAACTTCTATTCCTGAAGAGGCAGAAGTAAGAGAAGTTGTTTTCAACATGTGTCCTTCTAGTTCAGCAGGACTGGATGGTTTTAGTGGCCTTTTTTTTATCAGAAATGTTGGGAAATCATAAAGTCAGATGTTACTAATTTTGTGAGTTATTTCTTTACCGGGGCAATATTACTAAGTTCTTTAGTCATACTTGCCTTGCCTTGATTTCTAAGATAGACTCACCATCCAATTTTCGGATATGAGACCAATTAGCCTGTCGAATTTTTCCTTTAAAATTATTTCCAAGATGTTGTGCATAAGGCTAAATCCTATGCTCCCTAGATTGATTTCTGAGAATCAAAGCGGTATCATAAAAGGTAGATCTATTACAGAGAATGTACTAATGGCGCAAGAAATTGTTCAAGGAATATTTTTACCCAACAAAGGTGGTAATATGGTTATTAAGTTGGATATGAAAAAAGCTTATGACAGATTATCATGGTCTTTTGTTACATCTGTACTGAGAAGGTTTGGGTTTAGTGAAGAGTGGATTGAAATGGTATGGATGTTACTTTCAAATGTATGGTATTCAATCATTATTAATGGAATCAAAAGGGTGTTTTTTACTTCCTCACAAGGGCTCAAGAAAGGAGATCCATAATCCGTATCTTTGTTTTTGTTGGCAGCTGAAATTCTCTCCAGAATACTTAATAATCTATAACATAATTGTAACTTTACCCCTTTCTCTATAAGTCCCATGGGTCTTAAGGTGAGTCATCTGTCTTATGCAGATGACATTGTGATCTTTACTGCTGGAAACACTAAGTCAATTAGACTTGTCATGAAGGTGGTGTAGAAATATGAAGAAGATTCAGGACAATTAGTCAATCAGGATAAGAGTTTCTTCTTGACAGACCCTAAAGCTTCACCATCTAGGATAAACAGAATGAGAACAAGTACAAGATTTCTCAATAAAGCTTTTCCTTTTGTTTATTTGGGATGCCCTATTTTTGTTGGAAGGAAGAGGATAGTCTACTTTGATGGTCTTGTTTCTAAGATAGCTAAGAGACTCAATGGATGACAAGGCAAATTGGTGTCTTATGGAGGAAAAATAACTTTTGGTTAAACATGTTTTGCAGGCTATTCCAACTTACACTCTTGCAGCAATGAATCCTCCCAAAGCTATATACAGAATTTTGGAGAAATATTTTGCCAATTTCTTCTGGGGAAGTGCTAATGACAAGACAAAATACCATTGGAGCTCTTGGAGTAATTTGTGCTATCCCAAAGAGGAAGGTGATATTGGTATAAGAAGCCTTGAAGACATTGGAGGCACTTTTGCTATCAAAAGGTGGTGGAATTTTAGGACATAACAAAATCTATGGACAGATTTTCTTAGAGCAAAATACTGCTCTAGAGGACACCCTGTGGTACTCAAAGGAACAACCAAAGCAATCATACATCTGGAGAAATATGACTGGGAATGAGAGGGAAAGCAGAGGCCAATATCTGTTGGATGATTAACAAAGGAGATTATAGTTTTTGGTGGGACAATTGGACAGGTAAAGGGCCTTTGGCCAATACATATCCAATCGTCTCAAGATCTGCCAAGCCTACAGTCAAAGACTTCATACAAGATGGAAGATGGGATGAAAACAAACTGAGTGAAGCACTTCCAGAAAACATGGTACAACAAGTTCAGACAGAGAAGATTGGAGACCAAAATAAGAAATGACTATGCACTATGGGAACCTACAACAGATGGTAATTTTTCTTATGATTCAGCTTGGCAAGTCCTTAGAAAAAGAAGACCTACAAACTTAATGCTATCTAGACTGTGGAATAGGAACATTCCAACAAAGATATCATTCCTAACATGAAGGTTGCTTCAGAAAAAATTTCCTTTTGATGATACATTATTCAGATTTGGAAAACCAATGGTATCTAGGGGTCTATGTTGTGTGATACCCAATTGTGAGACAATTCAGCATTTTTTTTGTAGAGAGTCGGCCTGCTGTTTATCTATGGAAAACGTTTGGTGCTCCTTTGGGGGTTAATGGGCAGATGAACACTATTAGAAGTTTAATGTCCCAATGGTGGGGAGTTAGACCTAAAAATGAGGTTCACAAATATTTGTTGCAGATAACTCCTGTGGTGATTGTATGGGAAATGTGGAAAAGTTGGTGCTCATGTAAATATGGTACTCAAAAAAAGTTTTTGAATAGGAGTATGGAGCCTAACATCTACTGGAATATTAAGGCAGCATTGGGAATTAGTTTCCCTAACTGTGATTTTCCATGGCCTTGGACTAGACTCTGTGAAGTTATAGAGAAGTTCAAACCTGTTCTTAAAGTGTTCCCAGTTACATGAATCATACCGGAACCAGGTAAATTTAAAATGAACACTGATGAAAATTACATGAAGGAAGAAAGCAAGGCAGGCATTGGAGGTATTCTAAGAAATGAAGCTGGGGACCTTATTGTTGCTTTTTCAGTACCAGTACATTGTAAGAGTAACATCATGGCAGAAGTGTTAGCTGCTAGAACTGGTGTACAACCATGTTTGCAACATGGAATCACCAATTTTGAGCTCCAACTGGATTCTTTGATGATTGTTGATATGCTGCAAAACATAGACACAAACAATTGCAAATTGAAGGAAGTTATAGAGGATATCTTACAGAGAATAGACCAAGCGAGCAGTGGCGGAGCCACATTGAACCAAGGGGTGTCAATGACACCCCTTCGCCGAAAGTTTACACTATATTGCTAGATACTTTTTTATATTTTATGTATATTTACTATACGTTGATTCCCCTTGACTTTCGATGTAGCTAATTATTTATTGTTTGACAACCCTTAATGAAAATTCTGGTTTCGCCACTGCAAACGATAAGAATTTCGCATTGTTACAGGGAAGCAAACTATGTTGTTGATGCATTGGCAAAGCATGCAACAACATTGGAGGATGCTAACTTCTTTTATAGCTTCCAGCAGCTACCTGGAAAAGCAAAGGGACCTCTTCAACTTGATAAGTGGTAACTGCCAAGCCTTATAGCTAGATATGATAA